GCTAAAGGAGAGCAGAAAGAGGACAGATCTACACAAACAGAAGGCAAGATAAGCTGAAGTTATAACATTATAACACCAGAGGGGCATTTATAATTATTCAAGAACAAGTGGGATGAACTCTCAGTTCCAATTCATCCTACTTTCTCAGATACATAGTCTTTTCTGAGAGCAACTGCTCTGAGCAGCTGCTGTTAACTGTTTTCTTTACTATCTTTTGGGGGTGGGGAGAAGAAGAGACTTGACAAACACCACCACCATCTCACCATACTGAACCATCTCGTTAATCAGCACACAGATATTTTCCACCACTTCAGGATCATCAAAGTGAAGGTGGTAGGCATCTTTGATCAGGTTTATTCCACTGCCTTTTGAATCCATTATAAATCTCAGAGCTGATATTTCTGAAAGGGAGACAAACAGTGCTGGGCTAATTGGTAACTGCACACTGCATTATCTACTTTCCAGTCCCCTGCTCTAGCTAGCACACATATATTTTTCCAGGAAGTCATGTCCGTCATTTTCAGCCTTCCTAAAAGCTATTCTGAAGCATATTTGGGCAACAAGTAGAAGACCATATATGCAGCCAACACTGTCACGCATGGCAGAAGTAATATTTTCATGTTTACTGTTTTCACATTGATTGAGCTCTACCCATTTACACAGTTGAAACAACTTCATCATAAAATAAGTAACAAAACACTCTGAAGTTACTAATGGATCAGACTGTGCTGATCTAATACTTCTCATACATGCATGCTGGGTCCATGGGAAGAAAAAAATTCGCACCTCCAGTTTCACTATTTCCTCTTCCAGTCCTGGAAGAAAAGATTACCTCAGGAGAGCAGATGCCAATCCCAATCCCACTATGAACTCTTAACTATACAGAAACATCCACTTCTGAGCTGATTTGCAATTAATAAGAAAAAAATTGCTGAATGTTACCAGATAGCCTTAGAAGGCTTGCTAATGCCAGGCAGGCGTTCTTCACCAGCACTGGTCTTTCTGGGTTCATCCTGAGCGCATCCAGCAGAAGCGCTGTTGTGGGCTCATATTCATTTTCAGTTAAGCAACCTTTAAAAAAAAAGAAACACACACAAAACCCCAAAACTTCAATATACTCAAAAGCCTTTAAAACACTCATCAGCATTTGAACTTCTGCCTCCTGTTTCTGAAATGACTTTTTAATTATGCAATAAAAGTTACAAAGAAAGCACGTGAAAACCTGAATTGCAGTAAAAAAGGCCCAATAAAGCCTTATGAGTTGATCCAGGGGTCTAGGAGAAATTTCTGATACATCTTCTATGTCAAGATTCTCTTTCATTCTCCAAGCCAAAAGGAATGGAGAGTCCTGAATACTCAACCTGTTCTGCTGGAGAGTACTAGAAACGAGATTGCTTAGTGTTTTACTCGGCTCTTCCTAGTGGAACGATGGAATAAGCGCAGGGCAGTAGGTAAACATAGGGCAATATTCTTGCAGGAGGAAGAAATAAGACAGTAGTACTGCAAGGATGCGTTTCCTAGTGCACATGATAATGAAAAAGATACGCATTTTACTTTTTAATCTGAAATATTATTCCCAATTTACAAAGCAAATAGCATAAAAACAAACCTCCCAGCCCATGCTGCACAACACTAATGCTGTGTTCAAAGGAGTAACACAAATGGGATTCTCGGTCTTGAGAGAAGCAAAAGAGAACGCTCTGCACAACAAGGTTCTTTAAGCTGCCCATCATTACAGTACCCATCAGCAGTATCTAGTTATATAATTGCTATGGCTCATCAAAAATAGCTTCATTAGGGAGTGTTAGAGAGCAAGTGCATGGAAGACTGGTTAAGAGAGGATGCAAGTTCCTAACTCTGCTGCCATCTGCAGAGCCTGCTAAGGCCAAGCAGCCTGTATTTCAAGGATCACCACTGACAGACGTTTGGCATACTAGCCTTTTTCGTGCACAAGGGACAAGGCTGGGAAAACACACCTTGGAGTGACAATGCCCATAGTGCCGAGCAAGCAGACTCCGTAACTGTTCCATTCTGGATGTGCTCTTGAAGAACCGCAGAGGTAACAGGGACAGCACTGTTCAGCAATGCTTGGTCTACATTTTTCTCTGAATTACCATAACAAAAAGGAAATGCATCAAGCAGAGTTATTTAATCAAGTAATAATATCATAAGCACATCCTATGTCAAATTATATCAGTAAAACCTTAATGGGTGATGGCATTGGAGTAATGCAACATTATTTTAGTATGGACAACAGCAGAGGGAAGGAATTTAAAATGTACAAAAACAAATCAAGTTTTACAGGACTAATAAATAGTAATGTTTATTGCAGAAAGCTGAACTTCTCCAGGAACTAGTTTTCTTTGCCATTTAAATTATACATGGGGATCCCAGCAAGAAAGCTGAAAAAATACCACCTTTTTGACAGAATACGGTCTGCAGGATGGATATTTAGTTGGTCACATAAATCAAACGGGTGGTTTGTGGCACAGAGGGAATAAAACACACCAAGTCCAATTGTGCACGTTCTGTGCTTTCAGCCTTCCTCAATGATTAGAACACCACACACCTATAAAAGAACATGTCACAGACACAAATCCCCTAAAAAACTCCCAGTGTAGTCTCATAAGAAGGGGTCAGCTCAAGCAATCACCCATGGTTCTCCAACACTGTAGGATGATGCTGGTTTAGTTCTAAGGCAATGCGAAGAGTACACTTGCCACCTTGCCAATCACATTTCTTTCAGAAAAGCAAGTCTCTAGGAGTTGTCCAACTCAAGATTTAGCCCAGTGCTGCCAAGAGAAGTGTGATGCAAAGAAATAAGATGCTATTAATTCCAAATGCTATCCTGATACCTAATCTATTACGCTGTTTGCACTGCACTCCCTCTGCTAAGAGCAGAGCAAAACCACGAGTGACAAACCAGAAACTGCATGTACCCTTTCATTTCTGACAGTCTGTTCATAAGCCATATCTTGGCCTAAACAGTAAAGATTTGACTTTGACACCTTATCACAAAGAGTTGCTAAAAAGCCTGCATTAGTTTTTAGTTTTCTCTCATTTAAATCTGGATCACTTAAAGTTCTAGTAGTGCTGTGGAGACATGTCTCCAGAATGGGAGAAAGAAAAATCCAGTCCCAGCAACAGGAATGTCTGAACTCAATTAGGCACAATACCTGCTGCCTTTCAGTCACGAGTCTAGGCACAATACTTGCTGTGTTCTACTTACCACTCACAGCCAAACTCCAGAGAATTCCACAGCAAGAGAGGCAGATCTTTTCATTATGAAGAAAATTTCTTAAAATTGACAGAAGGTCTGGAATTACTCCAACTTTCCTTAGATTCTTTGCAGCA